TGTCAAAAATAATTTTTAAAAAATAAAAAAATATCATTAGCATGCATTTCAACATGAAAAATTATTTAAAAAGCATCACTAACCATACTGTCATACAAAGTCTTGAACTAATAAAATGTAGGATTTTTTTTTAATGATTATGAATTAGAATTTTTTCCGAGTCACTAGAGATTTATATCGTTATTAATTTTATTATTAATGAAATCAGTTGAGATATATATAAATTAATCTGAATATTTATATTAATAAATTTTTTTTGAAAAAATATAGGAATTTTATTAAAGGAGGCAAACAACCAGCCGACGAAACTAAAGAGTGATTTACATTGCATTAATACAAGTCAACTGGTAGAAACTCCATTCACAAAGGGTATGTTCTGAAAAGTTTCTGACTATGAGCATCTTTGAAAACTCCATTAAAACCAGTAATTGCTGATCGAGTGAAGGACAGCCTTGCATGCTCGCACCCGGCACTGCGTTCCCGCCACTCGCAAGTGGGACAAATAAAACATCTTTGATTAGACGGTGCTTCCTCTATGAGTTTGCTTGAGTGTCAAGACACGACTTGCACTTTTGATATGCTTACAACTCTGGCTTCTCCTGGCTCCCCAGATCCAAATATTCCATGGTCAAAATATAAATCTACCTGCTTTCGTCCTGTTGGCAAATTGTTTTTACAATAATCAAGAAAACTAGATATGAAAATAAAATAAAGGAATACATATATATATATATATATATATATTATAAAAAATAAACAACACAGTATTTTACTCAACATGCTGATTTTTAATTTTAAAACTATTATAATAATAATTAAAACCAACCATCTCGGTTTTCAAACCATTAGAAAATAATATAAATTATATATTAAAATTTTATTTAATAATTTAAATTATTAAATTTAAATAGTTCTTTAATATAATATTACAATCTTAACAATCAAGTAATGATAAGTTTAAATATCATTATTTTTATTTATTTGATAAAAATCAAACATAAAATAATGAAGGTATATAAAAGTTTCAAGTTTAAAATATTTTTATTTAAGTAAATATATTAAAAAATAATATAAATTATATTTTAAAAAGTTCATTTAATATTTTAAATTATTAGGCTATCACATTAAAATAATAATAAAATATATATTTTTTTAATTTCATGAAATTTGCAGCAAAGATTGAGGAGAGCAGTATCTCTGCCCACCTAAAAATTCATGGAATAATCCCATTATCACAAGAATCATAGAAGAGCACCCAGCCAACCGCGCCACCAGACAAAGCGGACCGATATATTATATTCGATATTTAGTAGCCTAGCATGTACGGACGACACACACGCACTCATCCGTCTCAACCACTGGTCAAAACCTCTAACCCATTTTCCACTCCCAATCCAACCTGGACCCAGTGCCGCCCACAAAACCACAGGCTGCTCTCAAAACATCCACCTGAATGGCTGAATCGACACCGATAACCCACCCACGCATCCTTCTTTGTAGCCTGTATATTTTTGCATTAAAAAAATAATTTTTTTCTTCTTTTCATATTATTTTTTAAAATATTTTCAGATTATTATCTTGACGTGTCATGAAGAAATAATTTTTTAAAACATATTTTAAATAAAAATATTTTAAAAAATAATTACTACTGTAATAAAATGAATCATGAACCATTACAATGTAGTAGCAATTCTTTTAACTTCCCTCGATAGCTTCAATAAAAATCACTATTTTTTTCATAGGAGTTCTTTTTACCTGTTATTATTGTTATTTTTCTTTATCCTCGTTTATTTTATTAATATAATATTTTATAAGATGACAGTTTAAAGATGGACACTTGCAAAACTATTTGTTAAGTGTTTTGCGCAGGAAGACGAGGTAAGAGGAGAGCGGAAGTCTCTGCTACGAACTCTCTCTTCGTTTTTCAGTTCAATAATAACAAAATATTTTAAATATATTATTTGCGGTAATTTTTTTATTTTTTTTTAAATATATCAACAAAGGGAGTCCAGGGTAAGAACATCGGTAATTATTTAAAAAATTTTATCAAACAAGAGTATAGAATAATTAAAATAAAATAAAATATATATTATAAATTTAAATAATTATAAATATAATTAAAACATGTTTAAGAGTGTAGTTACAGTTATTTTTTAAAAGATTTTTTATTTAAAAAATATATATTAATAATATTTTTTATTTTTAAAAAATATTTTTGAGATCACATATTAAAATATTAAAAATATATTAAATTAAAATAAAAATTAACTTTTAAAAAAAATACAGTGCAAACCTTTTTAATCTTTGAAAATATAGGCGCTCGAGAGGGGGGGCAGGTTTTCTCATATGTACCGCACCCATTCACGATTTAAATTCCATGGAGAATCGGCGGAGTTGGAGGACAGTGATATTCTAAGCTATTCTTTTTTTTTCATGATTATTTTTTGAAAATATTTTTTTAAATATATTAAAATAATATTTATTTACTTTTAAAAATTATTTTTTACATTAATATATCAAAAAAATAAAATAATTTAATTTAAAATAAATATTTTTTTTTAAAAAAATATTTTTAAAAATTAAAAATAAACGGAATCTTACTAAAATATTTTGCAATAGATTTTGCTGTTAACCGAAGTGTTTTAAAAAAATATTTTTTAATTTATTTTTTATAGCATGATTAAATATTAAAAAAATAATTTATTTTTAAAATATTATAAAACATAAAAAATAATTAATTTTAAAGCAAAACAACTTTTAAAAATAAAAATACTTCCTGATAAATAGACTGGGCATAGCGAAAAATTAATTTTTGCTAGATGATCACAGGAATACACCACCCCGCATCAATCTCGTGCATTTATTTGGGAGTTGACTTCAAGATTTGAATCTAGAAAGTCAATAAATAAAACATGCTTCCTTAATATGACATCAATCTCTCATGGTTTTTTTTTTTCCTCATAAAATACACTTTTCCTTATTTTATGATATATTTAATTCGATAGAGTATTATTGCTGACAATATAATTTGAACATGGAAAGTTAATAAATAAAACATATATTCTCTTTCTTAAAATTTCTTCTTTTTCCTCGTAAAACACACTTTCACTTCTCTTGTAAAATATTTAATATAATGGAGTGCTATTATTGCCAAAAATAATTTATATATTTTTTTAATTTTCATTTCGCCAACAATATTAGTGACACGTGTCCTTGTTCTCTCCTCCCTCCTAAAATACTCTTTCCACGATCACATGCATAATTATTCTAGCATTGTTATTAACAACAATAATTTTACCATTTCAACATTTTTTTTATTAATGCTACAACACATGCTAAATCTATTTATAAACGAAATAATTAGTTTACATTAATTGCAAGATAAATACATTAAAAAATATCTTAATAACTAAATAATAATAATAATTTACAGAATCATATAGAAAAATTTATAAAAAAGAGTTTTAAATTACTGTGTATGTCTTTTAAAATAATTTTTTATTTTTAACATCAAAATAATTAAAAAATATTAATTTAATATATTTACAAACTAAAATGTATTTTAAAAACATCTAAAGTTGTGATAAACATCGCATAAATTAAAAGATATTTTTTTTGTTTTGAAAGCATTTTTTTAAAAAAATTAATTTTTTATTTTTTATTTACTTTAAATTAATATATTTTTAGTGTTTTTAAATTATTTTAATATACTGATATTAAAAATAATTTTTAAAAAATAAAAAAATATTATTTTAATATATTTTTAAATAAAAAATATTTCAAAATAATAATAATAATTATATCTCCGAAACAACCTCGTACTGGTTCAAAAACCGTGGACCCGATATTAAAATCCAAAAAAAAAGAAGGTAGAATACGGGTGTGTTTAAAAAGACACACGTGACACGAAGGCGGGGGAGGAGGAGGGGGGAGGTGAAACCAAGGCTTCTCCCGCCACGAACATTGCGTGCGAGGAGAGAGTAAAAATTTACCCTCCCCAAAAAAAACTACCAGGTACACACGTGTCAATACTTTCACTCCATCTCTCTCTCCTCCCTAAAATTGGGACACTTTCACCGTTACCCTTTACTTTCTACATTTCATATTTTTTTCCCTATTTTGTTCCTGTTAAAACTCTCTCTCTCTCTCCCCCTCCCTCTGCTCCGTCGAGAGACACCCCTCCTGCCTCTTCCTCTCCCTCTCTGGATCGAATTCCCCACCAGAAAAAAAACTAAGAAAATCCTCAAAATCTATCATATTTTCTGGTTTTAATTCTTCATCTTTATTTGGAAAATAAAAAAGAAAAAGGAAAGGCTTCGTTCTTTCTTGCTCTGTATCTCGAGGATTCGATACCAAGAGACTGTCGGTTGCGTTCTGGGAGAAACCAATTTAGGGTTTTACTTCTTTAATTTCCATTCAATTATCGTCTTCTCCTTCTTCTTCAGGTTCTTTTCTCTTCAATTACGTTTATTGATTGATCTGTCTATTCGTTTTTTATATTCTATTTATCGCAAACCCTAATTAATTAGGAAAAAAAGAAAAAAAAACTTTGACTGGTTGTATAGATAAAACATCGTCGTTTCCATTGGTTATAGTTTTTCTCACGTACAACAAGAAACTCTTTGAAATTTTTGGTTGCGTTGTTTTAGTTTGCTATCCGGAATCGAGGATTTTCTTGTTGGGTCCGTTTTTCTTAATCCTCTTCCTTCTATCTTTGATTTTTTTGTCTGATTAGATTTTTTTTTGGCGTTTTTGGGGTTGCTGAGTATATCTTGTAAACATACACGAAAAAAAAAAACATTGAGATTAGGTTAGCGTAGAATGGCGTTGAATTTTTCGCATAGACCCCTCTTTCCTCCTCGTCTATCTGAGGATAATTTGGTATCACCGATGAGGATTTCGATACAGGAGAAAGTGGAGGATTGTTTTGATTATGGAAGGGATAGGAATGGCTCACAGGAGTCTATGCATAAGGATATTCTTGATCTTTTGCCCTCGGATCCCTTTGGCATGGATATGAGTACGACATTTACTGCTATAACGGGGTGGCTTGAGGATCTGGAGGTGGATTATCGTGGTTATGGTAGGGATCAGGTTTCCACGAGAGATGGAAATTATCAGTTATTTGCTGACTTGAATTTTATTTGCAATAATGCCATGTGGTTTCAAGCATTTCCTGGGAACATGGGGTTCGATTTATCTAACGTAGTGGGTGGGTATGGTGATGAGCGTTTGGAGGCGAATGAAGTTGGGAATGCATCTCATCAAGAGTCTCCTGGATCAGATTGTGACATGGAGGATGGTTTGAGTCCGGGAAATGAAATCATAGACAATGAAACTGTTGGGGTTGTGGATGAGAGCAGTGGAGAATTCCAAAATGGTCATTTGGTTTGCTCTGATGGAGATAAAGAAGCTCCTCATGCAGCTTTTGCTTTTGCTCTTGGTTATCTGGGTGTGCGGGATCTTCTTGTTGTTGAAACTGTTTGCCGATCCCTGCGTTCTACTGTTCAAAGTGACCCGCTTTTATGGAGGAGTATCCACATAGATCAACCATTGAATGAGAAGATCACTGATGATGTTCTTTTGCAATTAACCAATAGGGCTCAAGGCAACTTGCAATGTTTGAGCCTAGTGGAGTGTCCAAGGATTACTGATGATGGGTTGAAGCATGTGCTCGAAAATAATCCAAGGCTGACCAAGGTGAGCTCACATTCATCTAAAGCTGTTTTTTGTATTCGTTCCTCAATCCCAGTTATTGGTTGTTGGGATTGTGGAAGTTGTGTTAATTTTCATCTGTAATTCAATGAATTGCCTTATATTTATTTTATTTGTTTTGACTTAAAATGGATCGTGTTTTCTTTTTGGTTTTAAAACATCTATATGGATCTTACAATCAGTACGATTCAGGTTTTAATTTTCCTCCTATTCTAGAGCCAGATTTACTTTCTGGTACTTGGTTATGATGAAGCACGGTTGAGCTCTTTAGGTTGGTGAATCCCCTTCGATTATTTCTTATATACTGCAAATGCTGATTATTCTCCCGACCTTGTTTTAAAAGATTGGTGTGTGTTGTTATAGACATTGAAGAAAATTATCCGTAGTTAATTCAGAAGTAGAAAAGCAGATGAAATTATTTGCAGTTAATACAGTAGAGCAGTGATTGCATATTTTCTGCTCACCAATTTTAACAGTCAGGATGCAACATCTCTGGGCATGTCATATGCTCTATCAACTGCTTTATAAATATATTGTAAGCAAAAAAAGGTTGACCTTGTTTTATGCAGGCCTGCAATTACAAAATAGTTTCTTATGAGCACATGAGACTAATGTAAATCAGTAATCCCTTTTCTCACGTATGGCAAGCAAAAAATGCACTAAAAACGGTGAAAAAAGAGAGTATGCAAGACTAAGGTCTTACTCTCACATGCTATGCCCACTTTATATTTATAACTTGCCCCTATTGTGACATGATTCTGGTCTTTGGTGACCAGACATTGAGATTCATTGGAAGCCAGTTTATTGCATTTTCCGTAGTGCCATCTTTTGATTAGTGGTTTTTGGGCACCAGTTTTTTTATGATCTTTCTATAAATTTTTGTCAGCATCCCCTCCAAAAAAAAAAAAAAAAAAAAAAAAACTGTTACATCCATATTGCTTTATTTGATTTGATAAGATGCTTATATTTCTTTCCTTCTCCCCTTTTTTGTCCTTCATTTGTTTATATGCAGTTGAGTGTACCTGCATGTACAAGACTCAGCATCGAGGGCATTGTAACTAGCTTAAAGGCATTCAAAGCTACGGGGGCTCATGGGGTGAAGCACTTGCGCATTGGTGGGCTCTATGGTGTGACGCAGAAACATTTTGAAGAGTTAATGTTCTTGTTGGGCCCAGATAGCCACATCCAACAGAATGCTCACAAGCCACATTTTTATCACAGAGGAAATCTTTATCTGTCATGTGAGGATGATCGTGCAATTGATATTGAAATGTGCCCAAGATGCCAGAACTTGAGGCTAATATATGATTGCCCTGTAGAGGGTTGCCAGGGAAAAGAGCATCCTTCTCAGGCTTGCAGGGCTTGCAGCCTTTGCATTGCACGATGTGTTCAGTGTGGCCGGTGTATTAATGACAGCGAATACGAGGAAACATTTTGTCTGGAGTTGCTTTGTTCAGATTGTTGGAAACAGCTGCTGAAATGCTAGGAGATGCAGGATAGGAAGATTGGCCCCCTCAAGTCTCTTGAGCTCCCTAAATCTTACTGCAGTCTTTGTGTTCATTGCTAGAGACAGATAAGCCTGCTTATGTGTTCTGTTTACTAGTTCAGAATCATTGATCATCCAAGAAGAAAATATGAGGCAGCCTTCTCGGATAATGGTTCCCTTTCAATCTTGATCCACAACCCCCCCCCCAGGAGTTCGGTGAGCCTCTCTGGTGCAGCTGTTAGATTTCAAGTGGGGATAAGTTCATTTGGAGTCAAGTATATGCGAATTTATATTATTTTGTGGAAAAGGAGATGCAACAAAAAAAAAGGAACAGAAACCGAAAAGAGAACAGATAGTAACGGATTTTGAGTGGTTGATTAGTTCTCCATGCACTGTTGGCAGCTATAAGTATCACTCTTGTCCGTGGTTCATCTTTTTTTTAATCATACCTAGTAAGAGAGGATCAGTTTCACCTGTGTGTGTTGTTCAGAGCTGGCATATGTACCTGCATGGAAGTTGGGGTGTGGCATAGTAAGCGCTCTCAGGGTTATGTAAATTTCTTTGATGATTGAAATTGTGGTGTCTGTCATTGTTCCTAATAAACTTTTATATTGTCCCCATCAGAGATTTTTAATTATCTGTGAATCTCAGCGTATATCAGTGATCTCTCTGTCAGCAGAATAGAGTGATCGGTTTTCCTGCTGTGCACGATTTCATATGATGTTGAGGTGTGCAGTTTCAGAATAAGCCTTTATTTTGCGAGCGCTGTCAGCGATGGACTGTGGGACCATGGGATGATCTGCTGCTTCTGTTACTGGTAGATTGCTAGTTTGATATGTGATCTTATTCTTGGCTCCTAGCTTGCTTTCCTTGTAGGATATCTATTTTTCCCAACCATGGTGGATATGTATTAACTTTGATATTAAGGTACTGTATTTCAGTGCTTCCATTGAAAGATTTTATGGGCCCAATAGTGGGTGCCGAACTGTCACCTCACCTTTTCAATTATAAAAAGAAAAAGAATTTGCTTTTCTATTAGTGCTTTTTTGAATCATATGTTTGTGTCTCTCTCTCTCTTTACTGGGGGTGTTCAGATTAGTTGCCTGATTAATTTATGTATATTTGGGTTAATTTATATCTAGATTAATTAATGTATATTTTGATTAATTTATGTATATTTTAAAAATTAATAATTTAAGAAGCCTCCAATCATTAATCTCCGATTCAAATCTCCTATTCAAATCTTAAGCCATAAAAAATGTAAACTTCTTGATTTCAAATTTTTACCATTAAGTTTCCTATTAAATCATTAGTCTAGAAAATGCTTTTGATTTTTTCAAATTATTTTTTTTCTTATATATTTTGGAATTATTTTGATATATTAAAATTACAATTTTTAAAATAAAAAATATTATTATAAAATATTTTTAAAAATAATAACAGCAGAGCTGAAATACGATAGCTGGAGAGCTGAAATAAAGCCCTATCCATTTTCAGGTATACATGGATATGGGTTAATTCAGCTCTGCATTTCCCTCTTCTGCTATTTTAATCCCTTCAACTGGAAATTAAACCGTGGATATGTTGAAGGCCATTTGAAACACACAGTTCAGTTGTCTGAAGACGAACCAAAAAAAATAAAAATAAAATTGTATAGCATAAAATGAATACTGAATTGGGAGAGGGCAGCGTATAGTAAACACACGGAATCAAACCAGGAGAAAACATTCCGAGCGAGATGAACAAAAGAAGTTGCCTACCGTAAAATTAGTACTGAAATAGTGAATGGTAGAGGCATTCAGCAACAGACCTCCAAAATGGTGATGGAATTTGATGTTGGACTAAATTCGTTCAATAAATTGACCTTCTCCCAGCTGTATCCTTTTTTGTATTTTAAAAAGTTTTAAATTTATTTTATTTTTGCTTTAAATTAATAATTTTTTAATATTTCTAAATCATTTAAATATGTTAATATAAAAAATAATTTTAAAAAATGCATTATTTTAATATATTTTTAAATAAAAAATACTTTAAAAATTAACCACTCCAAATATTTGAAAGTCTGGAATACTTAGCTCGTGTTTTCATAGACAGCATTAATGATAATATTAGACCCAAATTAATATATAGGTGGTTTTTATGTTCGGGCTTGGTTTTTGCCCTGAAAAAACATCTCTTGAGGACCTGAAATTTATATGTTGTCTAAGCCCTCGGCTCCTAGTTGATATGGTGAATTGGAGTCATGAGAATTATTGGAGATATCCTACGTTGAATGATGGCCTACCAATCTGATTGAATGAAAGAAGAAATGTTTAAATCCTGAAGGAATACGGGATAAACTTTATTTTTAATTCATAGATGGAAGTGACAGAACAACACAGAAGGTATATTGTTCAAAAGGATGCGAACCTGGATGACAATGGATTCTATCAAGGGAATGAGACAAGAACATGATGAAATCAGTCTTGTTCATTTCTGAGATTTCTTATGAATATCTTTCATCCATGCTAAGCGCAATACTTTCTTGCCAAAACTCTTCTTCATCTTCCCACCCTTCCCTTTTTGTCATCTTTGCTTGACGATGACTGCGGCGGAGGGTCAGGGGTGTTATAATCCCATTGATCAGCCCAGGATAGCCCAGAGTCCATCTCCTTTTCCGTTCTTTATCTCCGCTAAAATATTCTTGCTTGGATATTGTCTTAATTAGATGAGCATGGTTAGAAATTTATGTCAAGGCCATTGCATTTCTTAAATCATCGTTGCTGGCTTCATTCCTTCTCGCATGGCAGAGGTATTTTTGGTGGATAGCTAAACAAATTTGGCTCAAATTCAGTGGTCATTGCCCTTTTTTACACCAACGTCAACCTAACCACCTGTGTAGATGGATTGGTTGGGTGCTAGCCAGTTATCTCTGCCCAAACAGTTTCAGAGAGCTGTCTCAACCGCAATTTGTTTTTCTTAGCTCAATGCTGTTTCAAATTAGCCAACATATTCGTTGAGGCGATCATCTTCTTACACTTGACAAGCGTGTAATCCTCAAAACGGTTGTGTTTCCGGGAGACAAGCTGTCCGTGAATTCGACTGTCCATCTCTAGAGACAACTACAAAAACAGGAATTCCTGATTTGAATTCATAATTGGAAAAGGACCATTACAATTTCAAGCAGGTCCAGAAAGATTACATAAATAGGTATACACTAAAATTAATGGGCTGACTATCTTTTAGAGGGGTAAATAATGGATCGAGTCAGAAATGGAAACACAAAATAGTGAGAGCTCCGTTTCTGCTTGAGAGTTTTCTTTTCACCAGTTCTTATTAGCGAACTGATTGACCATGCTGTCACAACCTCCTCACTTATTTCATCCTGCTGTCCTCCAACTATTCAACCCGACCATGCTGTCACAACCTCCTCACTTACTTATTTCATCCTGCTGTCCTCCAACTATTCAACCTGATGGGCTCTAAAGTGTTTGATTTCTGCAAATCCTCTTACTATCATGCACCATCTTACATAATGAGTTTGTTCCACTTGTGAGCAAAAAATGTTAGGAATGGTGATGAAACTCTTGCAGACAGAGTCAAAAGAGGGGACAGAAGGACACCGTCGTTTACGGAGGATCCATCATGCTTGTTGGGGGAATAGGTAGTTCAGGCAAAAATTGAGGGAAGGAAAAGAGAAAAGCGCAGCAGAAGAAAACAGCAACAAGGGAGGTCCCAGCATGGTCAAGCAGCTTACTTCTAAGGGTGAAAATTGCAAAATGTAATTCAGGACCCCATCACCTAAAAAACTCAACATGACCTGCAATCTCCCTACACAGCAATTTGGATTCTGTGGCTAACTTCAGGCTCTTAACAATGGCAAGTCCTGTCTGTTTGTGTGTAGATGCTGGCATATATGACTTGGCCTCCTCTTCCCTTCCTAGCAACAAAGCTTCCCTGGCAGGAATGACATTTTCCCACCAAAACTCCCGTAAAATCCCATGTATTATCTCCCAATAACCACGGTCTCTGCACACACGAAATATTGTGCTTCCATTTGGTGTCCAGCAATATAAATCCGCCCATTCTCTATCCATTATCTCCAATTGCCCCTGCACTTGAGGCACGTAATAGAAGGGCATAGTGGACCAAGGAAGACCCTTTTCAGGCTTCCCCTTGTTATAGGGACACTTAACTTCCAGGATGCCACCTCCAGGAAGAAGAACATCAGTGGAAGCACCAAGAAGACCATCAGGGGAAGCACCAAGCCAATCAAATTGCTCTTCTGAATGGATTGCAAATCCCAATGAGCTCACCTCGCGACCTGTGATGTTCTTATACCGATTTATTGCTGCTGCTTCATTAAGCACACCCCACTGCATGGCACTGTTTGCAGAAGCTTCAAGGGTCTGTGTCTCAGATTCAAACACTTTCTCATGCCAGAGCTCAGGGCGACGTTTTCCCTTCCAAAAACCCATAGCAGTGCTGAAGGTGCTCGTTGTTAGCCTGTCCCTCCTAAGGGCAAACCATTCCTCTGAGCGTTGGGGGGCATCAGATCCGGTAACACAGGCAGCCAAAACTAGTGACGAGGGGGGGCGCACTACAGGAGGGAATGTTCGAGAGATCAGAGGTTCGGAGCACGTGTAAAATATTCTGTAAGATCCAGTTCCATGCCTTTTCCTTGGGGACAGTGATGCCACCTTGTTATGATGAATGCTGGGAAACATGGTTGAACAGGCCTTGCTCATTTCCAAGAAAATCAGGCCGTTGATAGTACCTTTATTTGGTGGATTGGTCCAGCGAAGGCCACACTCTGCATGAAAGATTAGTCAAAAAGTCCGGTCAAAAAAGAATAATCATTATAACAATAAATTTTCCATGCAGTATAATAAACCTACAATAAGAAGTAGCAGGGTAAATGAGTTCATAAAAATCAGAGCATGCATTTCCTTCATAATATATACAAGCACCCTCTTGGTCTCATACAGCATAAGAAGCTATTGATAAATTACAAATGAAGGTTGTCAGAAGTAATCAACGGGCAAGCAAGATGTATCCCCTTCTCAAGAAATGAAGCATATTCACATCTTACTAGGTAGTCAACCAGCTTCGCATCCAGAAAATAATATAAATAAATCAACGGAATGTACCTAATTTTTCTATCATGGAAAAGAACTGAATTCACTCTACCTAACAAAAGCCATATCCTTTCACTTTATTCTTGATGCTTAACAAGGATCAAGCTACATCAAAGGTTAGCCGGTTCTAGCAGAATTACCAAACACCTTAGGCACATTGAACGGAAAAATCAATTGAGGGTTTCACTTTTTAAACATGTGATCTTCTTTACATCAAGTGCCATTGTTTACTGCAATGATAAGAGCCTTGCGCTTTTAACCATGCTAGCAAGACACTTCATGCAAAGTCAGAATGATAACATCAAAACTTGCCTTCCCAATTCCCAGAAACAAGTTTAGCATCTACATTCACTGCATAGATAATCCTCAACAATACACCAACCAACCACAAATAAGCAAATCCGTAACTGAAAAACATCCCAAAAGCTTACAGCTTTCAACCCCCAGCAAATTTAGCATAGCTTATAAATTTTGCAATCAAATACTAACAAACCCATGCAATAAAATCTCCGAGGCATAACGAAAACTTATCACAACATGCAATAAGAGACACCCAATTCTCTAAAACATGAAAATGCAGCTGCGTTATAAGCAAAGTGTTTGATAATATACCTGAAAGAGAGTTTGAGCTGGTAGCGCTTATCTTTTGATGGGCTGAAACAGAGAGAGTGCAAAAGGGTCGAGCATCAACGGAAAGAAAGGAAACTCTAGATTGAATGGAGGAGAGTTGAATAAGCTTCATTGTTTCACTTCGCCGATTATCATTGCCTTTAGGATTTCAGAAATTGTATCTGAAGGAAGGAGATTGGGAGGAGAGGCACACGAGGAGGGCAAGGTATCGGAATTGAATAAAAGTTTGCTCAACCACGACGTTTTCAAAAAGATAAGTGAGATTTTGAGGGTATTTCATATTTTGGCCCTCAC